GATGTGGCTCTAGAATCAGACTCATCGGTTATGCAAGGACCCACAGAACACATGATCAATGACGCGGAATTTCCTAGGTGGTTAATCATACTTCTTGTCAGTGATGATGCTGATGATGAGTGGCAAGGACAGTCAGGAATTTAAGCATTTTCCGGCAACATCCGTGAGCTTTTCCTGTCTTTCAGCTAGGTATCACACATTTTCAATCATGTTGGAGCAGTTTTGACTGGGATCTGTTTCAGTACATGTCTTACAGAGAAGTTCCAGCCATGTTCAAAAAAGTAAGTATTCCAAACAGTGGGTCTCAGCTTTCCAATGAGACACAGAGGATTGGACAGTTTGGCAGAGGTTCTGGTCCCATGTATGATAATAATGAATTGTAAATTCTGAACAGTCAAATTCTTCAGTCAATATTGGACTGTCATAAATCAAAGAATTATAAAGTCATAGATAAGTAATGCGTAGGCAGGGGCTTGGTTAGCTCAGATTTCTGGCTTATGAGACAGAGCAAGGAATCAATTGGTAAGGAAGCATGGCATCAATTTCTTCACTGGCGGAGGTGAAAGACTCTCCTCAACCCATCAGCTGAGGCATGGTGACTCTCAGGTTAAACTTGCCACTATTATTCTCTCTAGGACTACGGCTACTTTACTGCACAGGTACAGGCCAATCAACCTATCAGGTCAATGCTGGCTCATCTATATATACCCTACTTTTCCCTCCCCCACAAATTTTTCTTTTCTTATTAAATAATGATCGGGTTTCCTTTTGGAGACCGTGATTAAATTTGCCCCTCAAACCGTCACAAGGCAGTGCTTTTCAAATTCTGACCATGCTTTCCTTTGCCCTTGGTTCCAATGCCAATTATACAATCAAGTAGTAGTAGTAAGTCACTCAAGTCTCAAAGTTTGCCCTCTCATTCTTAAACACCCACAAACTGGAGGAGCAGCACCTCATATTCCATCTCGGGAACCTATAGCCCAATGGTGTAAATGTGGATTTTACCAGTTTCAAAACTTCCTAATCCCTGGCCTCATCCCATGACCAACCCTCCCTCTCATCCCCGCCTCCTTGACCTGACACAACCTGTCCATCTTCTCTCTCACCTATCTGATCCTCCCACCTCACTGACCAATTCCCATCACTCCCTACCTGCACTCACCTATCACCACCCCACCTACCTTCCCCAGGCCCACCCCTCCTCTTTCTATTTATTTCTGAGCTCCCTTCCCCCTCCCCATTTCTGTGTTATCTCTCGTTCTTAATCCTGCCGCAAATGAGAACAGTTTCTCCCTGCCTGGATATCTCAGGATTAGGAACCCACCTTCCAGTCTCAACCCTCCCCTCAGTCTCGCTTCTCCCAAGAAACTCAATCTGAGCTTCTTTTTTTTGCGGTAGAAGCAAAACACTGCAGAGGCTGGAAACCTGAGACAAAGATGGAGAATGCTGGAAAAGCTCAGCAGGTCTGTGGAGACAGACACAGATTTAACGTTTCAAGTCCAGTTTCATTGAAGAGTTCGGAAGAAGAGTCATCGCAACATTAACTCTGTTTCTCTCTGTCTTCACACGTGAAACCAGGCCTGCTGAGTTTCTTCAGCATCCCCTATGTCTGTCTCAGCTTTTCCAATCTACCTGAAGTCTTAAGCTCAGGCTTAGTGTGCCTTGTCACTGGGGATGCTGACACCCCGTCCCAACCAGAGAGAAAGTTCCCAGGATCAAGATCCAATTCGCTGCTTGTGGGCTGATGGACAAGCTTCTCAGGGAATCGGGAGCCTTGATACTGAGGCCTCACCTCATCAGGTGCTGCCAGCCAATAGAAGCAAGCAGGCTGTGGGTGTTGGAGATCACCGTTGGAGCCCCAAACCTCAGAAGCATGAAGGCAAATGCTTTTCTTCAGGTTCTTGTGAGGTGGGAGTCAGGGAGGTAGGAGGCAAGAGTCAGGGAGGTAGGAGGCAATGTGCCCTTTTGGCTGTGCTTTGAGACAAATGGAGCCTCAGGTTATTCAGTTGGTGGTGAGTTGTAGGCCCATCAGGGGACATTAACTGACCCCTTAAGGGCTTTCACTAATGTTGAGTTGAGATGGCCACTCCTGGACTTTCTTACCCAGGACTTATGTACTGAGGTGGTCAATCAGAATCTCCGTATCTTTAACGCCACCAATCCTTTTGATCCGCGAACCTCAGTCCTCGCTAACACGCCTCTTATGCGTCACGTTGTCAAACCCCTTTTACAAGTCAGCCTGGGTACACTGGATCCACTACATTACCTTCATCAACGTTCTCTGAAGACAGACCAATAAACTAAAAAGTTAAGCACTGTGCGACTTTCCCTCGATGAATCTTAGACAGATTTCCTCAATTTTTAATTACCCCACACCTCAATTAGCAGAGCATTTCTTACATTTCTAAAGATTGGCCTATAGTTAATGCTGACCATTATTTTGGGGATTCTCAAAGAAGACTTATACCAGACTCAAATTGTGAGCTGTTTTTCTCTCGCAACAGATGTCGCTGGACCTGTCGAATTTCTCCAGCAGTCTTTGTTTGTAATTTGGGGCGCCATGATGTGGAGGTGCCGGTGTTAGACTAAGGTGGGCAAGGTCAGAAGTCGCACTGGCAGTTATAGTCTATTAGGAATCACAAGGTACAGGGTTGAAACTGTCACAATTCTGTGGTGCCTTCACCCTCTCCACCCCAGTAAATGGGGATCTTAAAGTCCAAGTTGCTTTCACTTGTCAATGGCCTTTAGTGCATATGATACCACCACACCCAGCTGCCCTTTCCTTTTGGCAGATATAGCTTCAGAAGTGAAAGTATTTTGGGAGAAGTAACACAACAAAGAGATTTCAGCTCTCTGTGAAACCTACTTCTGGCAGTTTGTGAGAACGAAGGTCTACAGTGTCGTTAACAAAAAAAAAGGACCCTTCAGGCCTTGCAGAGCATTTTCCACAATCGTGAATACCACTTCAAATAAAAAGCTTGAATGTTTCGAACAAGTCGGCATAAGGTGCTTGGAATTTTTTTTTGCTACATCTGAAATTATCTCCTGATTCCTCCTGGCGGGAGGTGATGACCGAGTGGTATTATTGCTGGATTGTTAATGCAGAGAACCCGAGTAATGCTCTGGGGGCTTGGGTTTGAATCCTACCATGGCAGATGGTGGAATTTGAACCTTAAAAAAAAAATCTGGATTTAAGAGTCTAATGATGGCCATGAATCCCAGTGTCAATTGTTGGGGCGAAAAGCCCATCTGGTTTACCAATGTCCTTGAGGGAAGGAGACTGCCATCTTTACCTGGTCTGGCCTACATGTGAATCCAAACCCACAGCAACATGGTTGACATTTAACTGCCCTCTGGGCCATTAGGGATGGGGGGTGGGGGTGAGGCATTAAATGCTGGCCCACATCCTGTGAACAGATTGGATAAACAAAAATCTCAGAACAGGGTTTCCTCCATTAGTTTCCACCCTCCGTGTAGGGGGCAAAGAGGCTGATGTCACCATTTTATTTCTGCGCTGAAAGCGCACGGGGGTTTCTCTCACCCACACCTCCTTACAATAAAATGCTGAGTCCCTCATCTTAGATAACATAGTGTGGACCTGGAGGAACGCAGAAGGCCAGGCAGTATCAGAGGAACAGGAAAGCTGACGTTTCGGGTCTGGACCCTTCTTCAGAAATCTCCAGCATCTGCAGTTCCTACTATCTCCACACCTTGTTATCTTCTACTATCTACGAAACGTTACAACTCTGAGATAGTAGGAACTGCAGATGCTGGAAAATCTGAGATAACAAGATGTAGAGCTGGATGACCACAGCAGGCCAAGCAGCATCGAGCTGGATGACCACAGCAGGCCAAGCAGCATCATAGAAGCAGGAAAGCTGACGTGGCTGCTTGGCCTGCTGTGTTCATCCAGCTCTACACCTTGTTATATCAACGTTACAACTCTGTTCTTTTTCCCTTCACAGATGCTGCCAGACCTGCTGAGCTTTTCCAACAACAAGGTGCAGAGCTGGATGAACACAGCAGGCTGACATTTTGGGCCTAGAACCTTCATCAGAAATGGGGGAGGGGAAGGGGGTTCTGAAATAAATAGGGAGAGAGGGGGAGGCGGATAGAAGATGGATAGAGGAGAGGAAACAAACAGGTTGAAGAGGCGGGGATGGAGCCAGTAAAGCTGAGTGTAGGTGGGGAGTTAGGGAAGGGATAGGTCAGTCCAGGGAGGACGGACAGGTCAAGGGGGTGGGATGAGGTTAGTAGGTAGGAGATGGGGGTGCGGCTTGAGGTGGGAGGCAGAACAAGTTAGGGAGGCAGGGACGAGCTGGGCTGGTTTTGGGATGCGGTAGGGGGAGGGGACATTTTGAAGCCTGTGAAATCGACATTGATACCATTGGGCTGCACGGTTCCCAAGCGGAATATGAGTTGCTGTTCCTGCAACCTTCGGGTGGCATCGTTGTGGCACTGCAGGAGGCCCAGGATGGACATGTCGTCTGAGGAATGGGAGGGGGAGTTGAAATGGTTTGCGACTGGGAGGTGCAGTTGTTTATTGCGAACCGAGCGTAGGTGTTCTGCAAGCCTCCGCTTGGTTTCCCCGATGTAGAGGAGGCCACACCGGGTACAGCGGATGCAGTATACCACATTGGCAGATGTGCAGGTGTGATGTGGAGGAGGCCACAACGGGTACAGCGGATGCAGTATACCACATTGGCAGATGTGCAGGTGTG